TGGAAATGACAAAGCTGCTTCTCTAGTCATTGTCCCCCCTACACACCCCAAACAGGCTCTCCTGCTGCTCACTCTCCCCTCCTACCACGCTCCCCACGCTCAGTGCTGGCACTGTGTGACGTAGCGCCTAAGGCTGTCCGGGCAGGCAAAATCCCTAACGCTGGAGTTTAGAGTCCCCGATGGTCGACTCCCCGCAGCCTCTCCAAGTGGGAAAGAGAGCGGAGCCTTTGGGAAGGCCCTCAGAGCTGTGGTTCGGTGCTGACGGCTTAGAATGCGTCTGTTCTAAAACAGGTGGGCTGAAAGGAAAGCTCCTGATTGACATTGGCTCCGGGCCCAGCATTTACCAGCTCCTCTCCGCCTGCGAGTCTTTTGAGGAGATAATCGCCACTGACTACACGGACAAGAACCGCCTGGAGCTGGAAAAGTGGCTGAAGAAGATTCCAGGGGCGTTCGACTGGTCCCCAGTGGTGAAATATGTGTGTGAGCTTGAGGGGGACAGGTAAGGGGTTTGTTGTTTGCTTTGGGGTTGCCACGATGCGAGCTGCACTTAGCTCTCCGAATCAAGAGTTTATCATGGGCCTCGTGTGGAAATGGCGAGGCAGGTGGAGACTAAGAAGGAAGGAAGTTAGTGGGGTTCCAAGAAGAAAGGAGGAAGAGTGTGACATGAATCCAATAAAGACCAAAAAGAGGGAACAGAAACAGATGGCTATAGACAGACCCAGAGCCAAAAGGGAACTGTCATGAGCGCCTACCCAGAATGCCAAGGCATGACCCCAGGCCGATGTGGATGGGGCAGGGTGGCAGCCAGCTGGTGTTTGAGGGCAGACAGCCGTTCTGATTGGCAGGTGGCCCTGCTGTTCCAATTACAACCTCCAGGTGGCTCCAGACTTGGGGAATCTTTCCGTAGATCGCAGGGGCCGGGCCTAGAATTAAGACCCATCTTGCACAAGTGAACAGAATCTACTTACCTTGGATCATTTCAGGGCACCAGGAAGGTCCACCATGGCACCTCCAATCCCCAAATACCACTCTCCCCAGTTAGGTAGGACGGTTGCAGATGTACATTGGATTCTTATTCCTTTTGCTTAAGACTGCGCCTTTTTAAAAATACAGAACTGGAAAGGGTAAACCTTTAAGTGCTTGTCCCCTTGCGTACCTCAGTAGGAATGAGCCCCGTGTGCTGAGAACACGTGTAGGTAAGAAGAGAACGTATGAGGCGATGAGGAGGTCGAGTGGGGTGGCCAAGAGACACCGGGAGACCCTGGGGGACCCAGCAAAGTCGGCCAAGCTCGCATTGTAGCTTTGCTCAGCTGATTTCAGGCTGGCTTTCCATTTCTGGTTGTACTTACCCGGGTCGTGTTAAACACGGACCGAGTGGAGACAGAATAGGCCAAGCACCAGGCATACGTTGCTCAGCGAGGGCCCACGGGTGGAAAGAGCAGCGACCCCGGGGTCAGGGTTTGCAGGTCCCCGGCTTTGACTTTATGCACAGCTGGCTTCACAACCGTGTCCCTCTCTGGGACTCAGAGAGTGTCCCCTCTCTGGGACACTGTAAGACTGGTGACTTGATATTCCGGGAGTCTGTGTGGAAGGCAGAGAAAGGCAGGAGTGACGTCCGCCTCTCACACGATGAGCCTGACCCAGCTGGCCGCTCTTCCCTCTTCCCTCCGCTCAGAGACAGGTGGGCTGACAAGGAGGAGCGGCTAAGGAGAACCGTGACCCAGGTGCTCAAGTGTGACGTGAATAAAGAACAGCCCCTGGAGCCTGCAGTCCTGCCCCTGGCGGACTGCGTCCTTTCCTCCCTGTGCCTTGAGGCTGCCTGCCTCACCCAGGAGGCCTTCCGGGCTGCCCTGCGCCACATCAGGACCCTGCTCCGGCCCAGGGGCCATCTGGTGCTGGGCGGGGGCTTTGACACCACCTTCTACATGGTGGGGGCGAAGAAGTTCCCCTGCCTTCCCCTGAAGGAGAAATTCGTGTGTGAGGCTCTGCAGAAGTCCGGCTTCACCATCGAGAAGCTGGAGACGGCTCCGCGGGCAGCTGAGACCATGTCGGATGAGCAGTCAGACTACACCGCGATGTTCGTCGTCGTGGCCCAGAGAAATGACTGATGTTATTGGACTTGGAAGGGGGGTGAGCCTGCAGGGGTCATTCGGCTGCCCCATTTCCTTCCCTTGGCTTTATTTAGAACTCTTCCTTGCCAGCAAATGCTTTTAGCGTCTTATTATACGTGATTGCCAGATAATTAGGGATGTTCCTCTCAAACAGAGAGGTTCATAGTATACTCCACTAACGTCCCGGGGTTGGGGAAGAATTGGGCCAGAAAATAAAGCTTGGCCTCCCCTAGTTTTGAGGGCACCTTGGGGTTGCATGGGAGCGAAGAGGGTAGAGTCCCCCGTGCCCTCCTCCTTGAGGCATCTGGGGACGGCTCGCCTTCTGAGCTCATTCATCATTTGCATCTTCACCCCTGCTGATGACACCACCGCCCCGTCCCACAAAATGAAAGGAACGCGGGCTTTGGCACAAGAAAACGTGGGGTTTGGTACTTGGCTCTTGTGATGATAGGTAGGTCATTCGTATCTCACAGCCTCAGTTTCCCCATCTCTGAAATGCAAATAATAAGACCCCTCCCCAGGCTTCCTGTGACACCCCAAATATATAACATGAACACACCTGCTAAACAGCTACGTGTGCGATGGCATATGTGTTTTCACTGACCTTGCATGTGCAGGTAATAAGCAGTTCTTTTTTTTTAAATTTTTTAACGTTTATTTATTTTTGAGACAGAGAGAGACAGAGCATGAACAGGGGAGGGTCAGAGAGAGGGAGACACAGAACCTGAAACAGGCTCCAGGCTCTGAGCTGTCAGCACAGAGCCTGACACGGGGCTCGAACTCACGGACCGCGAGATCATGACCTGAGCCGAAGTCGGCCGCTTAACCAACCGACCGAGCCACCCAGGCGCCCCGGTAATAAGCAATTCTAAAGGGAGCTGGAGGCGTTGTTCTCTTTTGTCCGGTGCGACCCACCTAAGCCAGTTGCAGACGGGCACGGGGCCCTTGGGGAAGACTCTTGAAGGAAGTAGCAGCAGATCCGGGAGATGGGAGGGGTGAGCGGGAGGCAGCCAGGAGAAAGAACGGGGCGGGAATCGTCTGTGGAGAGCAGGAATTGTCAGTAGCAGTAGCATGTGCCAAGACCCAGAGGGGAAAGAACATGCTGTGTTTGCTGAACTTGAGCAGGAAAAACTGACACCTGGGTACAAAATTTGGGGCCCTGCCCCTGGAGATCTCTGATAAAACACCTTGGGCACTGGCATGGTAGAGCAGACCAGCGTTTCAAGTGGGCAGAGAATTTGCCAAAGCAGTGACGGTTGGCGGGGGTTGGGAGATGGGTAAGCAAGTGATTTGTTCATCCAACAAATATTTGTTGAGTGCCTACGAAACACCGGGCACCGTGCTAGGTGTGTCAGAAACTTTGCCCAGGGCTGGTCCTCGCAGTAAACACAGTTTTGCCCTGTCTAAGCCCTTGATCACATTCTACCCCATGTCTGTGTATCTGTGTATATTCTTGTGTGTATATGTAGGTACGGGTGTGTGTGTGTGTGTGTGCTGATGATGGTCGTAGCGGGTGGGTCAGATCCATTCCATGGTGTCACCACATGAGTGATAGGAGAAGCAGACTCTCCAAGGCTAGGATCAGATCAGGAGTTAGCTACTAAAAGCTGGCAGTAGATGCACCCAGAGGCTGAGTGTTCGCACCTCCTCCAAGGAGACCTCCAGGGGCACCCTGGAGCGTGCAGCCAGAAAGCTGGGCTGGGCTGGAAAACATAAAGAGCAAGGTGGGTGGCATAAGGGGAGGGTGTCCAGGCACAGGTGGTCTCAGTGGGACCGACTTGCCCAATGCTCTACCTCACTGCATCAAGTGTGGGCACGCATCCCGGGGTGTGTTCCCCTGGGGTCCTGGTGTCAGTTACACGGGCAGTCACCTCAGGGAGCTATTGACTCCCTTACGTGATATTCAAGTTGCCCCTTAAACTTTGTGGGCTGTGAGTGAGCATTGTGTTTGGCTTCCTGGGAGGTAGAGAGATACCAATATGTGCAAGACGTGGCTCGTGGCCTGGAAAGTACGGAAAGGGTTTATGATTCACTGGAGTAACAAGAGACACGCTTTTGTTAAGTTGACACTGAGTAGGCCTGGGACTCTACTGCAAGGCAGGCTTTGTTTGGGAGAGGGATGGTGATGGGAACCATGCCACTGGACAGGATTCATTCTCGCTCAGGGACTGAGGAAGGTGTCACGGAGTAAGTGGTAGCCAAGATGAGTTTTAAGAGAGGGTGCTTGTTGGAAAAGTGCTCCCACTGGAAGAAATGCTACTGCTAAAAAACATGGCCTTGGGAAGATACCAGGTAAATGATGTGATGTTTTCTTTGCCTGGAGGGTGGGATCCCTATGAGAGAACGCTGGGGGACAAGGAAGGATAGGAAGGTAGCTCAGGGCATTGGACTCTCCAGGGGGTAATCAGAGTTCATCAATAAATACTCATTTAGAACCTGCCATTTGTCAGGCCCTAAGAAAACAAATATGTTTTATATGTGAAAACAAATATGACACAATTCTTGCCCTTGTTGGGCTCATTCACAGATGGTATGACAGCAGTGTTAAGAGGGGAGGGCACACAGAAGGTCATTCTTAATCTGGGGGAGATAAGGGAGGCATCACAAAGAGGCAATATTTCTTCTTAAAGTTTTATTTATTTATTTTGAGTGAGAGTACAAGCGGGAGAGGGGCAGAGGGAGAGGGAGAGAGACTCCCAAGCAGGCTCCACGCTGTGAGTGCAGAGCCCGGTGTGGGGCTCAGTCCCACGAATCGTGAGGTCATGACGTCAACCGAAATCAGGAGTCGGATGCTCAACCGACTGAGCCACCCAGGCACACCACAAAGGGGTAATGTTTATTTTTATTTATTTAGTTTTTAATTTCACTTTTTTCAATTTACATCCGAATTAGTTAGCATCTAGTGCAACAATGATTTCAGGAGTAGATTCCTTAGTGCCTCTCACTCATGTAGCCCGTCCTCCCTCCCACACCCCCTCCAGTAACCAAGAGGTAATGTTTAAAGCGAGTCTTGAACTCACAGTGAGTACCCGATCGCCAGGCAAACAGAAGGTGGGGTGGAGGTAGGCTGGGGTGTTGAAAGCATTTCTGACGGAAGAAGCAGCCTGGCCAAGGTGGGAGCTTTGGGGGGCGGGGACATCAGTCATGTTTGGGGAACCTCAGTCAGGAAACACAGAATAAGTGGCCATTATATTCCTGTCCCTGTTTTGTCTTCTGAGGATATGGTGAATGAGTCCAGCAAGGCCCTGCCCTCATTCGGCTTTGGAGAAGGGAAGGCAGACAATAAAGGAATAGACAAAAAAAAAAAAAAAAAAAAGTGAGCCCTAAGAAGGAAATCAGCAGGGAGGTACTGTGGAGAGTAACCGGGGCAGAGGGGGTGGGAGAAGGGCTCAGACATTTGCTGGGATGGACAGACCTAGACTGAGGTCTGGCACAGCTGGACAGGGCTATGAGGGCGGGGCACCTAGGGGAGGTGCCAAGCCCAGCAGTGTCCCTCTCTCTACAACAGAGCTCCCCAAAGCTGCAGGGGAGGACGCCTCTGGACGCAGAATCTACAGGCAGAAGGGAGCTGCCCTCCTACCTGTTCCCATCCTGTCTGCAAGCCTCCCCTGGAGAAACTCCCTTTACAATGTTCAAGCCCCCCCCCCCCCCAACCCTTACTTTGCCTTCCAGAGGAGGATCCCAGGCACTCAGACCTCCAGGGGAAAGAGCAGGCAGTGAGGGGGATGGCTGGCACACCCCTGGAAGACGAGGCAGGCCGTCCACCTGACCATGTGTCTCTGTATGTGAGTGTGTCCTTCAGGGGAAGGAGGCAGGACAGCAAGATGGCTCCCTGGGGACCAGTCCTAAACCTGTTTTGGATTATTTCCCTTGTCCTTCACTCTCCGGACACAAGGGGGCAGTGGAGCCTTGAGCTTGGCGGACTGCAAGGTCCATGGGGCAGAGGACAGTCTTCCCTCAACCTTGTTTGCCTGAGGCCTGCTCTCCTGTTCAACCTGACCTCTGAATGTGGGAATCAGGAAGAGGAGGGCCACGGCCCGGCCGGAGGACCCTGATTTTCACTGACCTTCACTCAACCATATGTAGGATGAATGCCCCCCTCCCCTTCCACAACAGAAACTAAAGCCCAGGTCCTTGTGCTGAAGGATCAGCCCATTAGTAGCTTGGACAAAGAGCAAGGGAGAGGCGCCCTAGCTGGCTGCTGGAGTGGAATTCTTCTGAGCCCTCTCTATTGTAGTGAAAATCTCCCCAAATTTCATGAGGCAGGGGCAGGAGGGTCAAGTGCAGTGGATAGGGCCCAGCAAGTCCATCAGATCCACTCGACAGCTATTAATGCCAATGCATGTGTCAGGTCTCATGCTGGTGCTAAGGAAACAAAGGAGAACTGGCTTCAGCTCTTCCAAAAAGTTCACAGTCAGGTGGGCAAATGGCCACTGCCACACGGAGTGGTTTGTTCCGCACAAGAGCAGGACAGGTACTGGGGAACACAGAGGAGGTGCGTTAACCTAGATGTGGGGTGGGGCGAGGGAGGTCACAGGAGGCCTCCTGGAAGCAATACCCAGGTTGAGTCTTAAGGATAGGAGGGTTTAGCCAAGCAAAGGGCTTTTTTAGGCAAGGGGAAAACATGAGCAAGAGATCAAAGTCAAGAAACAACACGGGAGGGAGATTAAAAGACATTCCAGTGTGTCTGAAAAATTTCCAACGCAACACCCTTTAAGGTTGCAACCATTTAAAAAAAAATTTTTTTTTCAACGTTTTTTATTTATTTTTGGGACAGAGAGAGACAGAGCATGAACGAGGGAGGGGCAGAGAGAGAGGGAGACACAGAATCGGAAACAGGCTCCAGGCTCCGAGCCATCAGCCCAGAGCCTGACGCGGGGCTCGAACTCGCGGACCGCGAGATCGTGACCTGGCTGAAGTCGGACGCTCAACCGACTGCGCCACCCAGGCGCCCCAAAGGTTGCAACCATTTTAATGGCACACGCTCTGTGGTCTGGCTGTCGCCCAACTCTCCAGCCAGTAGAAAGGGCTTTCTGAACAGTTTTGTACATTCAGACAGAAGCTTCAGAGAATTGAGTTTTTCCAGGCTAGGACCTATAGGATTGTGAGAAACTGTATGCTGGGGGAAAGACTTGATAGCAGGGCAATTAGTTTTGGGGTGGGCTTTTTCTTTTGGGACTTTCTACTACATGTTGCCTTAACAAGTGACGAGGTGCATTTAAGAGGAATTCAGAGGTTAAGCCTGTAAGCAAATAACAAACGCAGTTTCACAAACAAAAACCATAAGGCTACGTACTGCTTAACTAGGTTACGTAAAAATTAGATTGCTGATTGATGATAGACCCGTAGCCAAAGTGATCAGGCAGACAGACTGGAAGAAATCTTTGCAGTGGATAAAACCAACACCTTCTAGAATATACAAAAAACAGCCAAGTCAAAATATACAAATTTGGACTAGGAGGAAGTCCAAAGAAAAAAAAAGGAGTGAGGGTGTGATTAGGAAATTTGTAGAAGAGGAATCTCCAAAGTTAGCAAACATTTTGTGGCAGATTGTGTAACTCTTCACTGATTTCTGTGTCTTCTCTTCTCTGGCACACGGCAAGACTCCATTTCTTGGGTCCTTTGCCTCAGGCTGTGGCATGGGGTTCTGGCCCTAGGAATGTGAACGCATCTCATGCCTACTCCAAGGGCTGGATGCAGAGAATCCAGTGGAGACCTCTGGCCCCTAGGAAATGAGACAGCCGCACTGTAGAAGTCTGACCGCCTGGAGCTGTATCCCTCCCCGGACTCCCTCCACACTGGACTGTGGAGTGAACAGAGATGTATCAGCATTTACTTTGTGAAGCCACTGAGATGTGTGGGTTGTTACATCAATGAACTTACCTCACCGATGTGCACACTTAGATGAGCTCCAATTGGTTAGAGAAAGGTGAAATTTAAAAAATTATAAGGGCACCTGCCTGGCTCAGTGGTAGAGCATGTGACTCGATCTCAGGGTGGTGCATTCAAGCCCCACATTAGGCATGGAGCCTACTTAAAAAAAATTGTGTAACTTCACGTATTTTCATTGGATTTGCAAAAACTGGTAAGGTAGATCATTTCAAGAATTTTGGTAGGGGTTAGAGGTGTGTTTGGGTGTGTTGGTGATTACAGGAACTCCCATGTACTGCTGCTGGGGATGTAGACTGGTATAGGCTTGTCGGGGGGTGGGGAGGACCCTGGTGGTTCTCACTTAAATTAAATATTTAATTGGCTTGTGACTCAGCATTTCTACTCCCGGGAATATACCCTGTGGAAATTCCCACACAGGTCTGCACAGAGGAGACCTGGGCATCTACAGAAGCGTTGTGTGGGGGAGTTAGAGGCAATCTGGGTGTCCATCCCTGGGGGAGTAGATACGTAAATGGGGGGATTCAAGTCACGGAGTGGCAAGAAGGTATGGCCCACATGTCCACATAGCCACGTGCACGGGCCTTAAGGGCATAGTGAAAACGATGTAAATGAAGATATGTACATACAAAACAACAGTACCTATTTCACGGAAATACACATAACGAAAAGAACACGCACTAAACCTCTTGGAAAATCCTCGGGAGGGTGGGAGATGCGTGGGGAGCAAGAAGATAGGGATCCCCTCCCCCTACACACGTTCTTTTCCGAAGCTTTCTAACAAGAGACTGAAGACTGACAGTCACAGCTTTTTACTTCCTAGACTGGGTTTCCTTTACTGAGTCGGATTCCCATGAGGCTGTGACATCTCTCCTCAACTTTTTTTGAAAACCGCACAGTCAGCCATCACTGCTAATTTTCCAGTTTCCTAAGCATTCCCTTTCAATCGCCTGACCTCATGGTTTCTCAAAAACAAAACAGGAGACGGGTACAAGAACAGGAGAATTACAACATCAAGTCTCAGTCTAGCTTTTTTACACAAGAACTAAGACTAGCTGCTTTTTCACATCTGTATTAAACACAGAGGAAAAGAGTGACATACATTAACCTGGCAGGACAGGTGTTTCAAATATATGTATTATACCGCGAATGGTAATTAGCAGGAAACAAGGGGGGAAAAAAATCAGTGGAAACGGAGAAGATAGACCTAAATCAGATGGTAGCAATTATGGTGAGTGCAAGACAAAGGGACATCACACCACAGGGAAGCAAAGCCGAATCATCTGTATAGCCCAGAAGCCACCCCAGTTCTCAGCTTTTGCCAGGTGGGTGTTGTAGAAGCCCCGCCACGATTTTCAGCCTCATGAACTTGGTCATTACTGACGGCCACCTGCTGCGGCCAAGCCGCTGGTCCCCCGGCTTTGCCAAAGGCCCCCAAATGCCATCTCGCTGCAGTTCACAAACCATACCATGGGGGTGAGTTGGGGCTGGGCACCTCTTTGCTGGATTACAGAACTGGGCCCAGCTGAGGCTCAGGAAACTCCTTCTCTTCCCTCAACCACCCCCACCCCGGCTCTCTCTTTTCTCCTCCAAGAAGAGCTCGCATCCTGTGTCCTTCCTCTCCTTCCCTGCTCTGGCATCCTTCTCAAAGCTTCCTGCAACCCAGGCAATGGATTCAGTGGCCAGTTTAAAATCTGGAGACTCGGGGCACCTGGGTGGCTCAGTCAAGCGTCTGATGGCAGCTCATGATCTCACTGTTCGTGGGTTCAAGCCCTGCGTCATTCTCTGTGCTGACAGCTCAGAGCCTTGAAGCCTGCTTCGGATTCTGTGTCTCCCCCTCTCTCTGTCCCTCTCCCACTTGTACTCTGTCTCTGAAAAATAAATCAGCATAAAAAAGAAATCCGGAAATCGTGGGTATAGATAAGTAGAGAACTAAACTTTTTGGCCGAACCAGTAGCTGTGTGGCTTTAGGTTGAAAACCCAAAGCTCCGTGAGAGGATGCGCTGTTAGAACCCTAAGAAACGCACACACAGGACCCCCTCGCGTTCTGATGGGACAGCTCCTTTCTTGCCCACGGGGAGCTATGACTCTCAGAAGAGAGGGGAACAGAGAGGTGATAGACTCAAGGAAAGGGCTCCCCGCCTCCCTGCAATTAAGGCTCAGATGAATCATCCCTGGACTCACCATCCGTATTCATTAAAACCTAAAGCAGACCCTGTGGGGCCGCATCAAATTTGATGAGTTATCATTTTGCTTGTAATTTTGTTTATTATTAATTACCAAGCACATGAAAGGCTCCAAATTGCTGGTTCCTCTGACTCTGGGAGTTGCTCAGTTTGGCTCTGCCTTGGATTCCAATCTCAGGCCTCACACCTGGCCTCAGGTCTGGTCTGAGCAGAGACTGAGGAAGAGGCTCAGCGCAGGCCCGTCTCTACAGCAGGAGCAAACCCCTGCCCCGCGCTGGCAGCAGAAGCAGGCTCCTAATTGCTGCGGTGTACCTGGGCGTGCGGCTCGCTCTTGGAGATAAGCAGAAGCCAGGGAGAGTAAAAGGAGAGATCACTGCCTACGGGAGTCTGAATCATTTCTGGAGCATCCCGGGCCTCTGATCTAAAGTAGGCCTTGATGTCTGAAGCACAGACTTTTTCCGGTGTTGGAGAAGGGAAGCTTGAGTGGTAGTTTCTGTTATGTTCCCCACCATTCTTGCCCCGTTTTTGTTGAACCAGTCATTTATCCTTCGGTGCCCTTGAATGCTGTAACCCCATTGGGTGAAATTGAGTAAAAGGAGCCTCTCTGGGCACGCCTCAGAGAGGAAGCCTGGGGCCACCTAAATGACCAAGGATTCTTCATCTCTACATCTGTGCACATGTCAAAAGCAGTCCTGCATCTGGATATGCAGGATGTTTTTTTGTTGTTGTTTTTTTATCATGAGCTTGATCATATATAGCAATGCTCATAAAACATTTGCATATAGTCTGAAGATTAATATAAAATGAACACCAGGTAACTGCCCCCCCCAAGTTGAGAAATAGAACAGTGAAGGGTCTTAGTAGCACCCCCTTCTTCCCCTCCAGAGCCAACCAGCGTCCTGACGTCTAGGGTAATGATTGTTTTTCTCTATAGTCTGCCGTTCCTTTATGCATCACTAGATAAGCTTGTTTACTTTTGCCTGTTTTGAGCTGTATATCATTGGAATAAAAATGTGTATCTTCTTGTTTCTCTCCCTCTCCGTCTTTGGAGAACCATCCACGTTGATACCTATAGCTATAATTGGTGCAGTTCCATCGCTGTATACTCAGATTTATTTATTCTACTGTTGCTGGACATTTAGGTTGTTTCTAGCTGGGGGCTACTTCAAACAATGCTGCTAAGAACAGTCACGTGCCTGTGCCAGGTTTGCTCTAGGTATGACCCTGGGTGTGCAATTGCTGGAGATGGGGTATGCTCAACTCAAGTCTCCTAGTTCGTGCCAGCCTGTTTTCCAGAATGGTGCACCGGCTTATTTGCCCACTAGAAATACATGAGAATATCTGTGCTCAAGGTCCTTGGTGCTGGCAGACGTTATTTTTGCCAATCTGATGGCTCTGTAGTAGTATCTCGTTGTGACTTCACTTGCATTTCGTTGATGAGATTAAGCATCTTTTCATAGGGTTCTTATAAAGGGTCTGTTCATGTTTTCTGGGTTGTTCTTTATTTTCATTTTGATGCACAGAAGTTCTTTATAAATTCTGGATCCTGGTCCTTTGTCAGTTTTATGAGTTGTGAGAACTTTTCCCACTCTGTGGTATGTCTCTTTACTCTCTTAATGTGTCTTTGGTTGAACAGATGGTCTTAATTGTAATACACTCAAACTTAAAAAATCTCAAATTTCTGATGGATGGTTTTTTGTATCTGGTTTAAGAAATCCTTCTCTACCCCTAAGGTCATGAAGATATTCTTCTACATTACCTTCTAAATCCTCAGAGACTTACCCTTCGTCTATGGTTTTTAATCCACCTGAATTGATTTTTGTGTCTAGTGTGCAAAGAAGGTCCTATTCCATCTTCTCCCCTATGGATACTCAGTTACCCTGGCACTATTTACTGAAGAGTCTATCTTTTCCCCCACTGATCTGGGATATCACCTCCGCTGTATATCAAGGGTTGATAAAGTTATGGGTCTGTTTATGGGCTCTCTACTATTTCATTAGTCTATTTGTCAGTCCTTACACCGATACCATACGGTCTTCATTACTATAGCTTTATAATAAGTATTATGTCTGGTAAAGCCAGCCCTCCTACCTTATTTTTCTTCTTCAAGAGTAGCTACTCTTGGCCCTTGCCACTGTCATATAAATTTTAGAGCTGGCTTGTCAAGTTCCAACAAAAACCTATTGGGATTTTAATTGAGATTTTACCGAGTCCATAAATCAATTTGGACAGAAATGACATCTTTACAATGTTGAGTCCTTCAATCCATGAAGTGGTCTATTTCTCCATTTATTTAGGTCTTCTTTAATGTCTTTTCATAAAATTTTATAATTTTCTCCATTAATGTCTTGTACATATTTTGTTGGATTTATTCCTAGGTACTTCTCATTTTTTAATGCCATTGTGCATGAAGTCTGTTTTAAATTTCATTTTATAACTCTTGCTGGTTAAAAATGAATTTAATTTTTTATATTCACTTCGTATCCAGAAATTTTGCTAGACTTTTATATTCTAGTAGTTTCTTTGTAGATTATTTTAAATTTTCTCTATATATTATCTTATCTGTTTTTAATAATAATTTTAACTTTTTCATTTTCAATGCTTCTACCTTTTATTTATCTTTCTTACCTCCGGTGCTGTCCAAGACCCCTTGTAAAATGTTGAATAACATGGGTAATCGTTAAGATAGAAGAAATAAAACTTGGCAATTGTTAGCGTTCTCACCTCTGTCCTCAGGTCAGAGGGAAAGCTTTTAAAAGTGTCATCATGGGGGCGCCTGGGTGGCGCAGTCGGTTGAGCGTCCGACTTCAGCCAGGTCACGATCTCGCGGTCCGTGGGTTCGAGCCCCGCGTCGGGCTCTGGGCTGATGGCTCGGAGCCTGGAGCCTGTTTCCGATTCTGTGTCTCCCTCTCTCTCTGCCCCTCCCCCGTTCATGCTCTGTCTCTCTCTGTCCCCAAAATAAATAAACGTTGAAAAAAAAATTTAAAAAAATAAAATAAAATAAAAGTGTCATCATGAAGTACGATGTTTGTTGGAGTTTTTGTAGGTAATCCTTTTCACGTGAAGGAAGTTCCATCCTACTCTCCATTTGCCAAGTGGTTTTTATTGTTACTGTTGTGAATGAATGTGGATTTTGAGCTCCCCCCACCTCCATATATCTATTGAATGATCAGAAGGCCTTTCTC